GGACAAGAAACAACAGACATAAGTTGCAGAATTCTGACCAGTTATACAGGAAAAAAAACTCACTATAAGGGTGGTCAAATACTGGAGCAAGTTGCCCAGACAGGATATGGAATCTCCATCCTTGGAGACACTTATAATTCAACCAAGTGTGTCTCTGAGCAAGTAACCGTGTAAGTCCTTGGCTGGATTGGATGATCTCCAGAGTTCCCTTCCAATCTAAATTTTTGTATGACCCTGCGATTATGACTACATAAAGACCTCTTTCACATTCACAGAAATCGTGTGATATCACTATGTGTATCTTATCAGTCCCTTAATATCATAGTATCAGTCTTGTGTCGTTCATTTCTGTTTCTATTTTATGCTATGTCAATCCTGACAGAGACTAAAAATTTTTAAAGCAGACCTACTCTAAGAATGACCATGGTCATATGTTAAATGCTTATTATGTTAATTGGGTTTTTTGGAGGCTTACCTAATGCAGCTTGAAACACGATTCCTATTCTTTCACAGCAAATGTAGCTTTATAACTAATAAAACTAGTGCCACCTGTATTATGGAGGGTTTCTTTCAACATTTTTGACTTATCTATATGGCCTCTTATTCAAGTGGAGTTACTTTGGAAGTGTATTGGAATATGTATATCAGTTATATGAGGCTTGTATGTGTTTCTTCTTGGGTGAAATGAAAAATTTAATTATATGAAAAAAATGCAAGTTGCTGCCAAGTGTGTTAACTGTGAGAGAGTTGCATTATCTTCTAACATAAATTGTCAGTGAATTGAAGAAAAGACATTTTGGAAGCTGATCTGATTACTGTCAGGGAAAGTGCTCAAACTCAATTGTTGGCAAATGTCCAGTACCCATCACTGAACGATCATCACCTCATCATTCAGCCTTCTCAACTGACATGCAAAACAACATCCAAATATTCATTGCACATCTGTGCTGGACAGATTATGCATTAGCAATTCAAATCAATTCAATGTACAGGCAGTTTCTGTAAAGGCGTCTGTTTGGGTGAGATGCCTTGTTGTCTGGGATGGATAATAAGGCAACTCTGTCTAATCTTGGAGAACAATCAACCCATCTTGAGAAGGTGACTGACTACGTATGCTCTTGCCCTGACAGCACTAGAACAATGGGCCCATAATGCACTTGACTCAGCTGGTAATAAAATCTACTTTTGATTAGCAGCCATGGCTTGTGTCAATCACTGCATGATGTACCATTGTCCTCTGGTCCCGAACACAGTTTATTTACAGGGAAACAAAAGCTTTTTGGATATGGCTGCTGCCCAGAGATTGCAAAATAGATTGAGCTGTCAGCCTTACACAGTAGATGAAGATTAATGAGTTGTGCAGACAATAAATATGAAGCAATGACCATAAATATGCTAATAGGTATTATCCATATACACTATAATTGCTACAAAAATTAAAAAGTAGTGTGAAGGAAATAGGTCACAGGGTGACAGATAGATAATCTTGGATGCTGAAGATCTTTGATTCAGTCAGATTCTCTACAGGTTTATTTCCTTCAATTAGACCCTTCAAAAGAGTAATTGTTTAAAAGCTGTTTGAATAATCTCTTTTGAAACAGAGGTTTATGGGAAAATGTTTATGAAAAAGTGACTTCAATGAACACGTTATTGGAATGAAAAAGGTGACTACCAAAAGCAGGCTACGCAGAGATTAATGTCTGTGATCAGCTGCCCAGCTTCACTATGAGCAAAATATCTCTAAGTGGCACACTAGTGAGGTCTTCAAGGAAAACATACTCAAAAGACATAGCAGTTTATATTCACAGACACAAGTGAGGAAGGTCATTCCTGAGCAAAATATAGAAGAGCTGCATGCGCAGCTGGTTGTATTGGTTTGTTTGGTGTTTTCAGCTTAGCATGCTTTTTTTCTTTTCCTTTCTTTTCTTTTTTTTTTTTTTTTTTTAAAAAAAAAAAAAAAAGGATGAAGAAGGGAAGGATGCCCACGGCTCAAATTTTCAGAGTACTCCCAACCAAACATCTGATTTTCCAATTCCTTTCAAAGATCACACAGTCTAGACAGTGCATGATTTTTGACACTTATGGATTTCATTTGAACCCAAAACTCAGGGAGTTAAACATCTAACTATGCTAGCTACATGTATAAATGCTTCAGCGCCTAAGTCTACTGAAATTGTAGTGACACTGAAAACAAAGGCAGTCGTACTCTTGGTATTCATGGCTTTGACTCTCTGTTCTCTGAGGCTTAGAAGCACCACAGGATGCTTTTTAGATGAGCTCATACCACCCATCTCCTGCTCTCCCAGATCCAATTTACTGTTAGGATGTCAGGCTTGGTGACACAAATTAATTATTTTCTCTTTCCTTCCATACTTTAACTAGACGTGGCATCGGTTTGGCTCTTAAATTATCACTGCTTAGATTTTTGACAGACCACAAAAACGTACAACTGCCTTAGTGCTTCTGTGCCAGGCTCCCTGAAAACTCAGCTGGACATCAAAGACACCTGCCTGACATCTTGGAAGTTACATTTTCTAACCAGAAATACCAGTAAAACAAGCAAAAAAAAAAAAAAAAAGGTAGGGGACTATATAGGAAAACTTTTCACACAAAGCTGGCAGGTGAGAGAAGCAGCACATCTTTCTGGATGAATCAGTGGAGGGAGAGGACCTCTGGAAGCTGCGGGCTCAGTGACTGAGTTCATGTTCCCCATCCCACTTCAGTAGTGACACCGAGGCTCTTTAAACTGGAGGCTGTGATGTTAGTCATGTCACAGGTGGCCAAGGCGCAGCGAGGTCCTCTCCCATCACCCCAAGAAAGGTGAGCACAGCAGACCCAAAGATGATAGGCAGGTTGTACCAAGAGTCCAAATCATCAGGCAAGTTTGTAGTGATGAGGCAAGTCCAAGGTCAAGCCAGAAACCTGAGTCGACAAATCAGGTTCGGGTCAGCCACAGTCCAGTGACTGCTGGTCAAGTCTACCCTTGCTAACCAGGCAGGTCCAGGGCCAAGCCATGAAGACAGGCTGCAGCTCAGTAGGGATTGATGAGGTATGGCTGTGATGGACCTGCAGACGGGTGTACCTACAGCATCGCTCGAGCAGGGAGGCCCAGGAGAGGCTGGCCAGGGCTCCTAGTAGTAGACTCAGCCCTGATACAGGTACAAAAGATTGACCTTCCTTTCATTCATTTTCATACAAGACAATGTCCCAAGCTGTCATGAAAAGCTGAAAACTAGTAAAAGCAAACCCCTTCCAGGTCAGAACTTCTCCATAACTTCTATTTGCTCTGCCATTACGGTAACAAGAACGTAAAGGTAGGCAGAGCTCAGCTGTTTTTAGCACTATGTCATCTGTGCATACTCACATGTTCCTCATCCAACACACTGCAACCACATAGCAGTTTTTAGAGCCACCTCCTTGCTGACTAGGTCCATGGCACACTTGTAAACAGATTCTTCCCTTGAATCCCTTTGGTGGCATTCCTTATTACACTGAATTTTTCACCTTGTTTTTATGAGACTACTATTAATTTCTCCTTTTCCTGCTTATTCACTGATGTCTCTGCCAATCATGAATTGCCTTGAAGCACCTTGCTTGCAATAAAACTTTTATTTTATCTAATTTTAACTATTTTTAGTTAATCAACTTTGTGTGTATCCATTATGAATTCTGGTTTAGGATTTATCAAAAGGTCATCACATATAGAGTCTCTGCAACTTCATGAAGCCTTCGTTCCCCATGGCTTTGCCAGCCTGTATCATCATTTTCTCATGGGCTGTTTGGAATATTAAATAAATTATATTAAGAAAGTACCAAAAGATTTTAGCAGTTCTGAAGGAAGGATCTGTAGTAATACGTACAAAGAAAGTGACATTTTTGATTTTATTGCCACTTTGAAGAGGACGTATACCATTAATTGTCCTATTTTTACATGGAATTTAACTTGCATTTAAGCTGTAACTTTAGATATTTGATAACATTAAGTAATTGAAAATGATAAATGACAGACCTGAGAAATTCAGGGTATAAAGATGCATCATAATTACAGAAGCCCTAGTGCAAGCAGAGTAGAAAATAGAAATAACAAATATTAGAATTAAAGAAAATTAAAATATATGAATTAAAGAAAAATTGAATGAAATAAAACAGTCAAAAGAGCAGTGCTGCTCAGGTGTACATGGGCCAGATATCCCACTGCTTGGATAAATAGAACATATAAGAAGAGAGAAACAGACTTTGTATCCTTTGTTCTATAACGCACCATATACAAGATAAAGATATTATATAACAATGAAAATTATTTTCATTCTGTGTATTTCCACTTCGAGAACCATCCCTGTGGTAGTGTGACCTAATCAGATATTCCTCCTTACCTAAGGGAGGAGGCCTGTGGATTTTTAAACAGCCTTATTTAAACTACTGGCTAAGAAAAACTGCGATAGACGTGTGCCTTTTGCAAAGGCCTGTTCATTAAAGATGGAGGCTGTGCTTTAGCAGGATTTGCATGAGGAAGAACAAAACATCTGTGTCAATCTGCTCATATGATGCAAGGTCCCCTAACAGTTCCTTCCATAAAGAAATTAATTTAAACCATCCATTGTTAATTAAGTTCTGATTTCCAGTCCTCTGTAAACCAGTTCTTTTTTTCAGGGGTAGCTGTGCCACAGCTGAAGTCTGGGTGCTACAAAAAACCCAAGTTGCAGTTTCTGCATGACCATCACATTACTGCTTTTTTGTCTATTTTCTGTACTCAGAGTTGTATTAATTCTTAAAATGAGGGGCTATCTTCTATAGGTGCAATTCAGTACAGTAAACTGCAATGCAAAAGAATGAAGAAGCAAATTTCTCAGCCACATCAGTTGCTAATCAGTGAATCATATGATACTAATTTGTTTTAGTATCATAAGAGCAAATTAGTTGGCTTGCCTAAACCTCACCCTGTTATCAGCAATGAAAAGTCATGTTCCCAAATTTCAGTTTCATTTCCTGGACGAGGAATACTGACTGTGGTAGCAGTTTCTTTTCTCCCCTGCTAGCTAGACGGTATATAAAAAGGCTGGCTGAGCCATGCAGTGCTTCAGGGGATTCCACACCCTCAGAAAGCAAAATGTCTGACCAAAACGTCCATAATGCTGGTTTCACATCCTCCGGGATCACAGGAGGATCACTTGCTTCATCGATGATGTCCCAGGAAGCAAGAACATCTGGGGGAGGTGTGCATTCCGGAGGCCCTACTGCTACTCTCCAAGAAATGGGTATGAGCAATTCTCTGTGTGTTTTTGTGGTTTAGTGCATAGGGCCAAACAGTTATTTTCTCCTTGAAAATAAGCTTGCCAAGTAATTTCTTCTCTCCTCCATTCCTGTATTGCACTGAAGACAAAAGATTCCTATATTTAACTGCATGTTATGAGTGGGATGCTATTAAAGGTGTTTTCTGTGTATGTACATATGCATGGATATACACATATATATGTGGTATTCATAAGGTTCAGGACAGTGTTTATTTGAAGTTTGTGCTATCTCTCCATTCTGCTAGGAATCATCAATAATATGGAAAGTCATGGTAGCAATAAGCGAAGATACACTTATGCAAGAACATGATCTGTGTACCTACATTTCACGTAAATTATCAGATTTTCCTTGCTCTTCACTGACAGACATCCATATTGGGAGAACCCATAAAACCTTATGCAAGCACTATAGCAGAGGGAAATTAGCTGCAGTCCAAGAGCTGAATTCACAAAGGGAACACACACACATCCTTGACAGCATGTATCTAAGTACTAAAATTAAGCATAGCTGGCTTTCACATGAGCTAACCCTGCAGGTGCTTGCTTTTCTGTTGCATGCACAGAGCAATCCCTGACCTGATGACTCTAAACAGCTGTGCACTTGTTCAACCCCAGATCCTGTGGGATTTGTGCACACTGCCAGTCCTGCCTGTGTGACCTGATTCGGTGGGCATCCCTCTAAGCAGGCATAACTCCACAGAAGAGGGTGCCCCATGCGATCCTGCTTTACCCAGCAGCACAGTACTTAGCTTGCTGACTTTGGACAAGGGCTTCAAAACCCTTTTTGCCTTAGAGGTCTTGGACCCATGTCTCCCACGTGTCAAGAGTGTGCTAATCAGCAGGCTGGTTATAGAGGGGAATCTCTGCCATATTGGTCAACTCCTTTTGTAGTAAGTACCTAGAAGCCTCCTGAAGGGTAGAGCTGAACCTGATTCTTCCAGCCATAAAATGGGTGGTTGGACAGGTGAGCTGGCCAGGATCAAGATTTGGGGGCATCTTTTAATAGTAAAAAATGTGATAATCTTGATTGAGAGGATGTAAGTTAAAAGTTATTTTTTTAAGATGTGATTTACATTGCTGCCAATATTAATGATAGTGTGAGGCTCTCTAAACAGTAAGGGAATAAGTGACATGAGGATAATTTAGAGAGATACTGCATGTGACTCCTGTGAGGCATTTTTCAATTTTTACTCTGTATGATTTGATCAGTGAGGCTATGTTACTGAATAGAGTGTTTATTGAATATTCAATAGCAAAGAGCTTGAGGGATGGTAGCAGCAGAGGGACAGAATACGAGAGAGAGTCAGGAGAGGAGGAGGACTGAGAGAGTAAAGAGCAGGAAAAGCTGCTTGCGGGCACCACACTGCACTAACAGTAGAAATCCTGGTACACAGGAGATGACAGTTACTTAATCTAATTATACACTAGAGCAGAGTCAGCTGCACAATCTTGCCTTCTGTTACAGATAAGGGTGGTACAGCAGTACTCAGCATACCCATAACCAGTGACAAACTCTTCAGTGGTGATGCCCTATAGAGAGCATGAAGTTGCAGTTTCTAAACTAGAAGACTGATGACTTGTATCCCTCCATGTGCTGAGAATCTTTATAACAGAGAGAAGCAAAGTAAACTTTTAACATTGCCTGGTTCTATTCTTGCAATGTCTGCATCAACTATGGACTTTTATAAAAACCACTATTTTGGTGAAGAGAAATATGCATGGCTTAAGTAAACCTTAACCATGCCTACAGGAGATACTCCAAAAGAGCTTTTATCCATGTGAAAAACGTTAGCTCTGTAACATTGCCAAGACAGGTGTGAGCTTTGGCTCCCTGCAGCAGGAGAGCTTGCCACACATTCTTTGCCTGATTGAGAGCTAAAAGGGCCTGCATTCATTTCCGCAGGTGCTCACCGAAATCTCTCACTCTTCAAACACATCTTCTTAACCTTTTCATCCAGACTGTAACCCTTCCTCCCCCCAGAACAAACATGCTCGAAGGAGCAGCTGATTCTGCAGCAGGGCATGAGTATTGTTCAGTATCACTTTACAGAAGATGTTATAACAAGCTCATCACCAAAATATTTGAGCATCCTCCAGGAACGCTTTAAGCATTATCACTAGCATTTGTCATTGCTAATGCTTTACTCCTCTCCCAGGAGAAAAGTTTGCAATGGAATACTGTGCTTGGGGCTTATTTATACTGAGATGGAGATACACATATAAATTGGCCACTGGCTACAACAGCTTGCTGTGTTTGAAATGTACAGGTATCTATTATGTATAGGTTTATGCTATGGAAAGTGAAGTTAAAGGAACATATCTGACACCTGGAACAGAAAGGGTGAAGTCTGCAATGATCCTTAGTTCCTGCAGGATTTTGTTCCTCAGGAAGCTCCTCAGAAAATTGCAATTTCAGCAGAGACAAAACATGCTGAAAGTGGTTTGGAGATACACATTTATCAAAAACAGTCTGTGCAAGAATTGTAGATTTTCTTTGTGTTCTGGGAACATGCACAAAACACTGCAAATGTCTTTTTCCCCAAGGTGGCAGCTAAAAAGTGGTATACTGATGGAAGAAGTCAAGTAATCAGCAGTCTCCTTGTCTTTTGATACACTGGCTAGTCTTGAACTATTTTTTTTTTTTTTTTTAAACACAGTAGTTTATAATTATCCCATAAAGTTCCTTTCAGTCACTAACATCTGCTTTGTAACTGTTCTAGGTGCCAAAGGCTCAACCCATTCATCAGGTTTTACCAGCAGTGGGATCTCCGGTGGATCCCTGGCCTCCCAGATGATGTCCCAGGAGGCCAGATCTCATGGAGGTCAAACTCCCAGAGGTGGTACAACTTCCACTGTCCAGTCCATCTGTAAGTGAAAGTCCTCCTGATAAAGATGAATTAACAGATGACTTCTCAGGAGTCAGCAGATTTTCAGCTCAAATGTATATTTACTGGATGAACGAATGTTAATAAGAGAAGTGGCTGCATTGTACTTAAAGCAACATTTCTACTGTTTATTGCTTTATACTCAGTGTGAAGCTGAAACTAGGGAATTAGTGGAAATAACTGTGTCACAAAATTTCAAAGATATGGGTGGAGAGCAGAGTCATAAATTTGAAATGCATAGTGACAGCAAAAAAGGCCAATGGAAGTTTAGGTTATGCTTTCATCAGCACCACAGTGGAAGTTCGTTAATTTTTTTTCAAACACAAATTCAAGAGCTCCACATTTGAACATATAAAACAGATTAAGTCGGAGGAAACAGTGAAACATGAGAATGGAGTTATCAGAATGACAGACAGGAATCATTAGTCCACTTCTTGTGGCTTTTCAGAAGGTCTTAGTTTTCTTTCCTTTAAAGGAAATTCATTGGGTCAAAAGCAAAGGGATCTACCTGCACTTACCAGCTCAAAACAGAGAATAAGACAGGTTTTTCTCATCACCTTGCCAAGTTAATGCAGCCCAAACCTAGATAAATCAAACCAAGGTATGAGGAAGCCTGGTCTATATTTGAATGCATCAGTAAGGATCCTATTTATGGTAGGCTTTGGAAGAGAATTGGAGACAGGACTGAAGGTCTTAATTTCAAAAAGCATCTTTCAAAGTGTAACAGGGACCTTTGGCCTCTGATCTGGGAACATTTGTAACCAATGCTCAGATATTCTGTATGTTTCCCTGTACTGCAACTTTGCTTTATGTTGGTTCTTTTTATTTGCCCTTAGCAATGGGTGGCAAAGGAGGAAAACACTGAAGAGCAGAAAAACATCAGTCTGGAACGAAGCTCTGCAAGCAATTCATCCTTTACCAAGAGTCATTTGACAACTCCCCTTCTTTGCTCTCCCTGCCACAAACATGAAAGGCAAAGCCTTTTTCACACTTCTGCACAAATACAGTTTCTATTAAAATGATGGACTCGTGCATTAAATTAGTGGGGACAGGGATGAGGGGCAGTTTCTTCCTTGATTAAACATTCTCTGAAGCACAGGCACATATGAACACAAACCTAAAATAGAAGCTAAGGTACTTTGGACTGCAAGGGTGTCTTACAAAAATCCTGGGTTTAGCAATGCTAGAGTCTCCAATTACAGGTAGCTTCCTCTATTTTACAAAAAAAGTGATCACAGTGCAGAAGACACCCTGTTGTGAGAGAAGCATAGAAATACTCAATAAGGGGCATCCAGAAGTTCCCATTGGATGTACTTCTAATGGGCTATAAATTAAATTGTACTTTATTAAAAATACACATAAGCAAATGAGAACAGGACCCAAGAAATTTCATACCTCAGAGACGTAACTGATATTTGTATATGTCTACTATTTCTAAGGTACCTTTCACGTTAATTTAATTTCAAGTCTCGGTTTACTGAGAGGTGTCAGCTTTGTCACAATTGGACCACAACTACTCCTGTAGACTTCTTATGACACCTGAGAACAGACAAGGAAGAGAGCCCATTTTCTCTGGTGTAGGTCTCACTACTGGGGCCTCTTGCTGTTCCCCTCATGTCTGACTCCCTTCCTTCATATGTACTCATATGATGACGTTTCCTCAAATACACGTAACATCGTCCATTCCTTGTACGAATTCCCACATACATACTTCCACACACTTCCATCTCCCTTCTGTCTGTCTCCTCATCCTCCCTCCCTCTGTATTTCTAACAAAACCACACAGTGTAGCTTCTCCGTTCCCTTCCTCACCCCAAGACAGAGGGAGAGAACCTCACACCTCCAGGCCAGGAGTTAAGAGCCAGTGGGTTTGTGGTGCCACAGTCAGTGATTTTCTCCAACAGCTTCTGTCACCCAGCTTGAGCATTTCCATCTCAGCTGCATCTCTTCAAGGCTGGGAGATGTATTTGTACCTGTGCACCTCATGCTCTCAGACACGGCCTTCCCCCTCCTGCCTAGGCACCTTCCTGCATGGACATGAGAGGTCAGCATTTGCCTTCGGTTGCAGAAAAGTGAAACTGAATTATTTGACAGGGGGAGGAGTGCTAGCATGGAGTAGAGGCTGACGGGGAGGGGAAGAAAGGTATCTTTGCTTGCTGTGCTATGCAAAGTATTAAAAGGCAATTGAAAACAAATCTCTGTTTCATGGCATTGTTGTCATTTGAGCCTGCTCAGCAGCTAAACACCCCGCAGCCGCTCACCCACCCTCCCCCCACTCGGGAACGGGGAGGGAATCGGAGGGGCAAAGGGAGACTCGCGGGTTGAGATACAAACAGGTTAATAACAGTGACAGAACAACACGCTGACAGCAGGATCAGCGGGTAACATACAACACAGCTGCTCACCTCCCATCTGGCAATCCCAAACACAAAGGCCCCACAGCCACACTCCCGGAAGTGAGAGCCCCTCCTGGCCCACTCCTGCCTTTATATAGTGAGCACAATGTCACATGACATGGCATATCGGCCAATCGGGGCCCAGCCCTCCAGCTGTGCTCCCCCCGCCCCCGCACACAGGTGAGGGCACTGGGCCCTGGGGAGCCCCTGGGGTCTCAGGGGGCTGCAGCTCCTCCCGCTGCCAGACCAACGGGAGCTCTAGGCCAGCCCCAACCAGGACAGGGATGGAGCTGCTCTCCTGGCAAAGTGCTATTTTGGGGAAATGCTCAAATATAACCAGGACTTGAAGTCTTAAAATCATAGAAATATTTAGTTTTAAAGAGACCTTGGTGTGAGGAGAAGGGGAAGTTCTCTAGTCAGATTTTCAGCTCAAAGCAGGCTTAACCTTAATGTTAGTCTTGTTTTCTCAGGCCTTTGTCCATTCAGGTTTTGAAAATCTTCAAGGATGCAGATGTCACAGCTTCTCTAGGCAACCTGTTCAAAAGGTTCACACTCTCACAACTGAGATTTTTTTTTCCCATGTGCTGAAATAGAATTTGCTTTGTCACAAAGTCACACTTACTCCAATGGCTCATTAAGTACATAATTAATAGTGATGTATTTTAGAGTTTTCCACTTCACAGATTCACCAATAAATATACTTTCCTGAACTGGTACCTAAGCCTAAAAGTGGTGAAGATGGACTGGAAACATCCTTTCAGAGCTCAGTGCCTCCCAGTGCCACTGCTACGAACAGACACGCTATTTGCAAATCATGATCACATCAACGAGAACAAATGTTTTCTCTCTCCCCATATTTTCTGTACAATTACGGATTTTGAGATTTCTTTGCACAATAGTAGTAGCTTAGATTTATATGTTAACTTTCATAGTTGAGAATCCTGAAATGTTTTGTTTGCTGCAAAGGAAATCCAGAAACATAATCCCACATGTTGTTTTCTTTCTAAGATCAGACACCTTTTAACTTGACTTGAGTGGTAGTTTACATGCTGTCATGCATGTGAAAGCTTCCATGCTCATTGCCTGCCTTCTGGCTATCTACTGCTAAATTATTACCACTGCTATAAATATCTAATTGTAATACTGCTGTTGTATGTAGCAAATAAATAAAATTAATTAAGAACACGATATCCAGGTGAAATGAAAAAAATGTATAATTAAGCTGTTATGGAGTAAAAAATTGGAGTATTCAGGACTCACAGACAACAACCAGACTCAAGGGTCTGTGAATTTGACTGAGAAGTGTGAGGCATGCTCTCTGAAATGGTATTTTAGACATAATTTTCAGCCTTTCTTCCAGACTGTTTCTAGTCTTCTCTAGCATCTCTCCAGATCTTAGCCACCTGCCTGCAACAATGGTTTTCACACATGCCCCAGACACCATCAAGCACAAGGCAAAAGGTTTGCCTAGACACAAACAATAGGTCCTGGAAACTGGTGTCACCAACCCCTGAAAAGGGGAGGGGGAAGCTGATGAAGCTTCTGTCTGGTTCTTCTGCTGTGGTGGTCCCTGCTTATAACAGGCCTGCCTTTCCCACTGTCCCCACCAAAACAGCCTCCAACTGAGCAATCCCTTTTCCCTCTCATTTTCAAACTGGCTCCATAGTCATCCTTGATCTGTCTTATGGCAGCAACCTCACAACTGCTGCTGCTACTTTCCTCTCCTGCCCTGGCTCACCCTCTGCGAGAGCCGTGTTGGAGCACTTTCCTGGCTCGGGCTCTGCCCCGTGACCTCACAACACCTCTAAAAAAGGCTGTGGCAGATCTGTCAAACAGCTACTGGCGTATACGTAGAGAAATCTGGCTATGTGCCCGAGAACGCAGCTATATTTTTCTAAGGCACTTAATGTTCCTCACTTGTGGTGGCTTCATCAGAGTTCTGCCATCTCTTTACACAGGAGGAGGGGAACATAAGGTCAGTGTAAGGCAGTGTGATTTTGACTGAGCAGCATTTTATGTCTATTTAATACAGATTAAAGGATGTGGGCAAGTAAAAGGCAAAGAAGACGTTGCATCCTCTCTTCAATGATTTTTACAGATCAGCAGTGGTTCTGCATTTGCAGCTTTGTCCACTGAGCATAATAAAAATAAAAGCATTGAAACTCCAGGTATTTGGCATAGTCTCGGTGCGTATATGCAGAGATGGACTCAGCAGTTCACTAGTCTTTAAGTCTGGGCTAGTACATGACTCTAATTAAGCCATCCTACACTTTCCTCCCAAGGCTTAATGCAGCAGCCTGTGACTACTAAAATATAGCTGCGATCTACCAGCAGATCTTTATTCCCCTCTATGCCCTTAGCGCTGGCATGAGGTACAGCAAGGTCTATCCTGGCTTATTCCCATTCAGAGATTCCCCCCATGTGCAAATGCCAAGGTAAGCTCTCAGGGAACAGCAAGGGCCTAGATTCCCACAAGCAGATATTCAAACACCTGCTTTAGCACTGGTGATGCTAAAATGAGTCGTAACAATTAAGCTAATGTAAGAATGACAAGAAAGAGTAGAAAAAGTCAAGCACATACATAACTCATCAGACAGACAGTTTTATAAACTGAAGCTGTATTATCCCAGAAACAAAATGTGACCATTTCATGACAATTAAAGACCTTGTTTCTTATTTATCTGCAGAGGGGAGAAAATTTAAAATTGCTTTACAACTTTCATGCTGGCATTTCTTGACCTCAAGTGTTTTTGTCTTGTTAAAAAATGACTATCATTAGTGAGAGCTGACAAAAAGTATTATGCCTAAAAGAATGAAAACCAATCCAGACCAAAGGAAGGATCGTTAATCACGTATCATTTCACTTTTCAGCACTTATGTGATTCTGGTGTTACTAGCTTGGATTATTTTTCACATCTTTAGATCTTGTTGTGTTGACAACCAGCCTAGATAGCTTTACTGAAGCAGGGAGCATCCTCAGCTACATTTGAATTGTTAACTGAGTCAGCCGTAATAGGTCTACAGAAGAACAAAGGTAAATGCTTCCTCCTGAAAGCCTTACTTGCAGACCACTTAAGCAAACTCGTATGTGCATTACTAAAAATGAAGTATTTACATTTTTAACAGAATATAATTGAAAAGGTCAAATAACAACAAATATGGCAATCTAAATCCCTCATGTCTCTCAATCAATCTTTCCACAACAAACAGAGAGAGAGAAAGGAAAAGAGGCAGCAGCGTGTGATTACCAGAGCAATAGCACTGAAGCAATACACTGCAGAAAGCACACAGCTCTCTGCACAGAAATCAATTTCTCCCATGGGACGGGGTCGATAGTTGTCTGACAGGACAGTATACAGGCAATTTAATAGCATTTTATCTAAATGAATCTATTCCTTCCCCCGCCAACGGCCTCCCAGTTCATAAGAAGACTCTCTTGGTAAAATAGATTTATTTATTTTTTATCATACAACAGGAAAGTATTTATCATTCTGAAGACACTACCATTGTCTATCAAAAATCCTTTATCCCTGTTAGTTACTCACTAGCCACAACTTTTGCCCAACATTGTTATTCTAATTATTTAACTCATGTACACAGCCCATAAAAATTACTTTCAGTTACTCTGGAAACATTTTTCTTACCCCAAAACATTTTAAACTATAGATTACCCTTTCAGGAAAAATAAGCCCACAGAGCAGGTAAACTCGGTTGACTCAAAGGAGTTTTGGTATCTGAAATGACATTTTTATGCAACAAAAAGCTTATTTTTTCAGGAATGTGTTATACACTGAGATTGGTTGTCCAGTGTATCTATTTTAATAGTACTTAATAAATAATAAAGCTGAGCTGATCTTATTAGTATCTGTGTGAAGTAAATGGTAATGAATGAGAAACCCTAATAAGCATAATTCCAAGGATGGATCTTTGGCGCTCTGGGAGTTTGGTATTGTGCCCCAAAGGCTCTTGTAAATCCAGCTGCAGTTCTTGCTCATCATTTAGAAGATTAGGAGCTGATAAGCGACAGTCAAGCCTTATTAGAACAGGCTAAGGCAACAGGAAACATTAATTGGGTAATTTAATGCACAAGGAGACAATAAATGCCTGCATTGTGGTTCAGATGCTGTTTCCTCTATTGATTTGTTCATGTCTTATTTTGCAAAATTCTCACAAATTCCTGGTGGAGAGACTGTAAGAAAAAATCCAAGTTTAAAAGTACCACAATACTTTTGTTATATCCTGTGGCTTCCCATTACTCCTTGTGTTACTAAGGGACCCACCAGTAACCTTGCCCTTGGGAGCCAAAGAATGAAGACTACTCCCTTGCCCAAGGACTCCTCCGACTAAGGAGGGGAGAGATACAAGGTATAGCAGCTACCTGCACTGAAATGGCATCTCACCATCTTACTTGTGTTACGGTCCCGTGCACACAGCAGGAGCGCTGCGACTCTGGGAGGAAGTCCAGTCTCTCTTTTCCTCTGGAAAGCTGGAAGTACTTAACAAAGCTTTCTTCTCTTTACCATTCTGGAGGGGATGTAGAAATAGTTGCTGGACTGATCTTCCTCTGGAAGTAAGGAAGATGAGAGGAAGCTCCTGACATTAGGTGTTTCTTCCCACTCATCTGGGTCGATTCACTCAGTCCCCTCAGTGGTGGATACTGGTGTCTGGAATACCAAAATCTCTCAGTTATAAGCCAGTACCTCATCTGGATCCCATTCTAAGATTTACTTCCCTGACATATCTTTCCCACAGCTGAACAGGAGGGAAAAGAGGTTCTCTTACAGCAAAAGAAAGTCAACGTGAGAAGGGGAGAGTCTTTCCTTTACTTAGCTGATCTAGGCACTCTTTCCCTCTCATTTTCTAGCATTGTAAGTTGGAAGATTGGGGGTGATAATTCATGGACACTTTATTTTAATAATTTACATTTGCAGCAATTTAAATATTAAAATGCAGTTTGAAGGCATACAAGCATCATTAATTTCAAATAAACATTGTGCATTATGCTCTGTTTAACAGCATTCAATCTTTTTGTAGCTTTATTGCACTTTCAAGCAA